ACTTCAGACCACGGAGAAAGAAGTAAAAAGGCTTTTCCCCACTGTGGAAGTCAAAACTGGGTGCTTGTTTGTTTCCTCAATATGCTCAATAGTCACAAGAATAATTGATCTGTAAAGGCTTTTCTATGATAAATGTTCATAATGACAAAAGAATATTGGTATAATTTCAACAAAAGCAGAATTTAATTAAAATGTCTGTGAATGGTGCATTTCCCAGATTCACATTGTATGTTCCCCTTCCACATCTGTGTGCTCATTTCACAGACTGATTGATTGTTTATCTTGGACTACCTCATAAAGGTTTTCCTTAGTCTAAGAAAAGTGCTAATTGGGACTGTTAAACATACTCGTGCATGCATTTATTTGAAGCTGGAATTGCTTATTTGTGCGCTACCTTTAAATCAATGTTCTATTATACGAGTCTCAGATGGATGGGAAGCAATAAAAACTCAAATACCACAAGCTCTTTCTTGGAAAAGATGTGAGTCACCACTGAGACCGCTGAGTATTATTCTCTTAAGACCTCACGAAAAAAAAAAATTACCTGTTGAGCATTAATAAGGCTCACAGCTTTTGAACTTGGCTTGGGTGGTCAGTTCCTTTGTATAAGATGAATAAGCACAGGCCAGGAACAACAGGATGAGCCCCATTTGTTTGGTGTCTTTTAATTTGGTTTCAGCAAAACACCTTCAGTTCTGAACAGGAACCAGATAATGCTCGCCCCCAAGTGAACAAATAAGAAACACAAAATCTGTGGTGTATACCCCTTTTTTAAAGAAGTTAACAACTTAACATTCACAAAAAGTGATTGGCAACTTTACAGTCATTCACAAAAAACAATGTCTGGCAATATCATTGCACACATTACCCATATTTGTTTGTGCAGTAGGTAAACCTTAACACCTTTGTTGGTGATGTTAAAAACAGACCCTTTAAGTCAGGGGAACATGAAGATCCAGAAACTCTGTGACTATTCTCTTCAGTGGTGATACGAAGAAAACAATAAGTCCTTTGATTTGAATCCATGAATAGGGTGACATTAATATTATTTTAAAATGCTTAATATCTCTGAAGAAAGAGATGAGTGTGGTTCAGATCATGTGGAACACGTGACATACTGTGTTCTCGTTCAGTAAAGGAACGTCTCTGTGACACAGCCTGAGAGACTGGCAGGCACATTAATTTACTTCTTTGCCAAAATCATCTTTTAATGTATAAGGAAATAGCAACAGAAAGTAACTTAATTGTCTGTTAATCATTGTTAACTGAAAACAATGATTGAATGACAACTAATGTGAAACTCCTAACAAATCCTGTCCCATCTCTTTCTTCTAGCAGTGTAATATTTCACCTGATCAGGTGAATTCTAACATGCTGTAGAGTTATTCTATTGTACTCAAATTCAAATTGCCACAGTACATCACATAAACATGAACTTGGGGGAACATTGTGTTTCTTCAGACACTTTGCAGTGTCTTTTTAAAGTGTAATACTGAAATCTACTTTAAAACATGTTGAAGCAACAGTCCAAAAGATGATACGAACTCGATAACTAATATTTGTTAACACTGAATATCACAAACTTTAACTTAAAGCCACACTTTAACTAATCTAAATACTTAAACAGGAAGAAACAAAAATATCCATGGCATAATCAAATGAATATAAATCCATACAGGGAAGACGAAGCCACTTGTCACTTGACTAAAGAAGAATTATAATGATCCACATGATTATTAAGCTAAATACTGTACATATATAATATGTATAAATATGTTATACTCTGAAGAGCAAGACTTACATACATATATATGTATTCTCCTTAAATGGATCATAATAACAGTTCTCTATTTTAGCTATAAAACTACTATTTTGAAACAAATGAGGGAGAATAGCCAGTGTAGTGGAAAGTGTTTCATTTCTTGTGGGAGAGGCAAATCAAAGAGGCTGTTAAAACCGAACAAGGAGTATGCTCCAGCTCACTGGACTGTGTCTGCAGAATCCAGATGGTTTAGGTTACTTTGTGAACAGGTTCATGGCTCCTTACACAAATACATTAGATTCATCTGTCCTAGGAGAAACCTGTCCTTATTAAAAGACAAATTTAAAGAGATATACATAATAAATTCCCATTAATGGTCACGATAGAAAGACATAATCTGAGTAACATCAAATTATCATACCTGCAGCAGTAAGCACGATTCTCCAGATCTCAGCTCAAAGCCTTTACAAAAAGATTTTATGCAGTAAATGTGTCCACCAGGTTTACCATTATTTTGAGGGTTCCTCAGCCTTTTCCGATTATGAATAGATGAACTAACACATCTATCACTGAAATCTTTCATTTCCCTGTGAAAATAGTCAATCAGTATTGTATGGACAAGCTGACATAAACACAAAACTTTGTTGAAATTATTCAATATTGTGTAGGGATTTATTATGTTCTTTAAGGTCAGAGAATTCCATGTCACATTGACACCAAATACAGTAGGTGGCAAGGCAGATCTTTACAGTTAAGCATAAAAAAGTATGCTCATATTCATGATACTTGGGTGTCTCTGAATATTGGGACATACTGTAAACCTGCTATCTTGAGTAACAGGCTGTCTATTTTAATATGACCTTAATAGAATATGGTTTACGTACACTCCATGAAGAGAAACACATACAATTAATTAAATATTTGTAACAGTTGGAATTTATTCAATAAAAAACAGTTGATATATTTGGTCTCAATAATATTTATTCTGCCTTTGGGGTTTTTAATTGGCTTGCCTGATGGCAGAGAGCATACTGCCAAGGCACGGTCTTCACTCTTCTTGCTCCAGTATGTAAAGACTGCTCTTCAACTTTTATCTGAGCCAGTAAAATGTTTATTTGGTAATTATCTGCATTTGAAGCCATGACTTTCATACTTACAGCTCTCTGTAACCTTGGGAAAAGTCTGTTGAGTTCTGTTTTTTTTTTTAGCTGTCACTGAAACGCACATACACTCCTACTGTATTGTGATTCCAGCATTTCTCACTGTTATGGCAAAGAACGTACTGTAGAATTCATAATTCCCCTGACCCCAAGCTAACTGTCTATCACCCCGTAAGTAAAAAAAATCCTGGACATTTCTCAAGCCTCTATTGTCTAAATAAGACCAGAAGATGGCTGTTTGCTGGGGCATCTATGTACTGTACCAAAGGTTTGGACACTTGACAGCCATCATATAACACCAGAAAACATCAGCCATCATGGGTATTCTGCACTGCCTTGGAAAGCAAATAACATTTTAACTTCTAAACTGGTCATAGAGACCATATTACCAAAGAACATGTCATAAGCTGTCAACAGAAGCATTCTCCTGAAGAGAATGCTGACGTTTTTTTTTTCATTTCTCTCTTTCAGAAAATTGCCATTTCTGAGAACTAGCTGAGCCTGGAAAACTTTAAGGTCCATGCGTAACCTATGTATCTGCCTCTGCCCCTGAGTGGTGTTGCAATCAGCAAAGTCAGTTTTTACAGTATATCTGTCAGTTAGGAACAGTACATTATGTTCAGAATTCGGTGGCTCATGTGCCCATCTAAAACTAAACTGCATGACTCCCATCCAATTCAAATTGCATTGTCTTCCCGTGAAAGCTCACATACAGTATAAGACAATGTCTTAGCTCCAGTTTATCCTAATGATTAAATTCATGAGTATAATTCAGCTCTTATCTGTGATCTGCTGATTCAGACAAAGACAAAATTCTACCTAATGGACAACAGAGCCTTCTCTTTGGAAGAACAATGTCTGTGGATCCCATAGCACTGATCCATTAGAGACTTTGTGATTGCTGATAATTTTTAATACCCTCTGAAAGGCCTATCCTTTCAGTTCAGCTTTCAATGTATAATTCATTTTTAAGCTTGTGTGTCTCTTCTTTTACAATGGTATATGTTTCTTGAAAACGTTAAACAAAATATTCTAACTAAATTTCAGAAGAAAGGCTATTATTATTAACAACAACAACAACAACAACAACAAATAACAATAATGTGTTAAATGGGGCTCAGGTTTTCCATTTGATCTTGAAGTAATGAAATATACAATTACAAATCGGGGATACAGCTCAGTTCAAGTCCTCAAGATAATAAAAGCATTTTTTCTCTTTGCAGAAACATTTTAAAACAGTGCACTCTAAACTGAAAGCATACTGATAAACCCAGAGTCAGCTTGTTCATGGTATTGGGAGTGCTATGGACTATTACTATGCAAATTAATATTCTTTATTTAATCAGTGTGCAACTTGGCTGGAAGGGGCACACAAATAGGCAATATCCAATGGTTTGTTCTTGTTATATAATTTTAATGAACAGAGTTTATGCACTTCAGAGAGCTGAATAACAATAGATAGTTCTGCCCTAGCAATACAAAAGACCAAAAAGTAGCATTTTGTTTGTTTAGGAGATTTTTAGTTTAATAGACAAAGTCTGGAGGATTTTGGCAATATTACTTACAATTTTTCTTCAGTTTATATTTCTTTCGTGCCAAATCTTCAGGGAGATGTCCTGTTTATATGAAACAAACCAACTTGAAATTGACACAGTGGATACTGATTGATCTAATTCTGTTAGTTCTAATTTTCCCAGTTGTATTATTTTAATGGGAAGGATGATTTAGAAAGACGCAGTCTGAATGACATAAAACCCTACAGATGGGTGGCCTGGAAACAAACCTCCTCATTTTGAAGTTATCCCTTTCCTTTTCCTACACCTTATGGGGAGAATAAACCCTAATGCAGAGGCAGGATGAGAGGGTGCAATTTACTGCAAAACCACTATTATTTTGCCACAGAGACCTTCTGCAG